CTCTCACAGTTACTACTGTTGAGCAAGGTACCACCTATACTGTGCCTGTGCTTTTCGTTTTTGTTGCCTAAATGTAGAACCTTACTCTTTTCACCATTGAATTTCATAGACCTCCAAGAGCCTTCCAACTCCATTATTCTTTTGTTCTTACGGACTTCAACTTTAAATGACCACAGCAACAATGCTGGCTGAGGAATTCTGGGAGTTGAAGTCCATAAGTTTTAAAGTTGCCAAGTTTGGAGATCCCTTTCCCTTTTCCTTAGTGTCATGGTTGCCACCCGCTGGTCCCATAGAGAGACTGTGCTACCTATCATCGCTTTTGTCAACTGCGGCTTTCACATCCTTTTTTAGGAAGTCAGAAAAGGTGTGAACTAAATCAGGGGCTTTCAAACTTTTTCAAAAGGCCACCGATTCTGTTGTTTAGAAAAAAAATTCCCCAGAATGGATGGAGAGGCAATGCTTTACTGATAGAACGTTGGTTGTGTTTGAGTAAACATTTGCTGCTATTGTTGGCTTTAGTCTTTCCCAGAACTGATAAGGTCCATGATGAGGGGTGGGAATCCATCCCCTGATTGACTGTCTCCAAAGCAGGAGTCTACCAATGTCATATTATTCCACGACAAGTCATCTTTTATACTTATGACAACAGTTGGGACTGGAACTTCCATCCCTAAGCACTGTAGTTGTTAAATGAGTCAAAACCAATTTTCCGACCTGATTGCCGCAATCATTAAGTGAAGGTTAATCACTTGAGCAAATCTAACTTCCTCCGTTGTTTCCAGATGTTTTGAATGGTCCAAAAACTGGACGTTTTTAAGGAGAGAATGGACAACCAGTCTGAAAATTGTGTAGGGTTTCCTGCTTGAGGAGGGGTTTGGACTAGAAGACCTCCAAGGGCCCCTTCCATCCCTGTTGTTTCATTATTGACTTTGTCGTTGGAATCCCTTGGAAAGATTGCAGTGGTGGGATTCAGCCAGTTCACACCTATTCGGGAGAACTGGTTGTTAACTTTCTAAGCAGTTCAGAGAACCGGTTGTTGGAAGAAATCTCCTTTTGTTTTTTCCCA